CTAAAGTTCTGCCATTGATGATGAATACGCGCATATCTCCCCGCTGATCTACGTAGGTTCCTCATTTACAATAATATGTGATGACTGATGTAGTTAGTACGTTATCTGGCCTTTTGGCCTTTAGTTGCTGCCCATATTTATCTGATTTCTAATTATAATTGACTTGCTTGGTCCGACTTACTCCGACGAGCAAGTTATCAATGGAAGCCTCTGCTAGAGTACTCTTGAGTTCTGTGTTTAAATGTGAATATCTGCCAGCATGCGCTCCCCCTTCTTTAAGCCTGGAGGAGACAGAATTACCACTTGCAGCTAATGAACAACCCACATGTTGCTGCACAGAAATCAAGCGCACATCCCTGCGTGCGACAATTTCTATTAACAGCGGCCGCTACCTCAGGGTTCACCCTAGGTGGCTAGAATAGAATAGAATTTATTTCTGCCTCGAAATGTCAGCACTAGAACAATGCGTAAACATTACGATGAGTCATCTATTGAAACAGAAGGCATCACATCTCAATCTAGAGCGCCCTGCTGTTCGAGTGCCACCTATGCAAAATGTAACGCTAGTCGCTAATGGTACCTAATCTACGTTATTACTGAAAATTAGTAGTTTAGTGGTTTTCAGCCTGTCATGTTCATATGTATAGTCCTGTTCCATAGCTATCACCAGCCAGATAAAATTTGCTATCACAAACAAAATGTAACGCTAGTCTACCATAGATGTACTGTCTATCTGTTATTAATGAAAAATGGTACTTCTGCGATTTCGTAACCTGTCATGTGCATGCTTACAAACCTGTCCCATGGCTATCACAAACCAAATGGAATTTGTTATCACAAGCAAAATGTAACGCTAGTCTTACATATATGTACCTAATTTTTATCTCTTATAAATGAAAAATGCTACATCGCTACTTTGCTATCACAAACCAGGTGGAATTTGCTATCACAAGCAAAATGTAACGCTAAGATATCTAAACTCTATCTGGCTATAAGGAAAAAAGATACCTTGGCGGTTTCCTAACCTGCCAAACTTGCAGTCCTGTTCCATGGTTATCACAAAGCAGGTGGAATTTGCTATCACAAGCAAATCAGAAGAGATTGTTAACCTTTGTCACTACGTTGTTCCAAACGCTTTCAGTGTTATTATTTGTCATAGGATCTTAGCCATCACAAGCTAAGAACAAGTTACTATCACACGCAACGGAGTTCAGTGTTGAGTCGTTATCCCAAACGTTTTCGTTCGTTCTTGGTGTGGAGCTGACTATCACAAGCCAGGTCCACGTTGCTATCCCAAGCAACCGAGTCCAAAGCTCCAACGTGATCCCAAACGTCATCATTCGTCCTTGGTAGGGAACTGACTATCACAAGCCAGGTCCACGTTGCTATCCCAAGCAACCGAGTCCAATGTTTCAACGTTATCCCAGAAGTCTTTGTTCGTCCTTGGTATGGAGTTGGTTATGACAAGCTAGGTCCAGGTTGCTATCCCAGGCAATATAGTCCAGTGTCGAAAAGTTATCCCAAACGTCGTATCAGGCACAGTCTGCAACGCCGGTGACGCATCCATACTAACATTCACCTAACTTCGGAAAAATAGGCTGGCACGCCACTTTCTGACTCTGCTCCGCTACGAAAGGAGCCCTGAAGGTGACCTTCCGTCGGTGCCCACCCTCGCTCCAGTTGTCTAATATTTGTGTTCAGCGATTCCTGTATGAGGAGCAGTTCCTTTGTCATTTCTTATGTTTGGGCACCTCGACATGGCTTAAAACGTAAAAATCGTTGCGCGAACACGAGCACGATATTTAGCGCGTGGCACTAGAACAAGGAATGAGAATGAGAGTTTGTTGGCCTGGGGCCGGAGTGGAGGAAGGTTGGAGGGCGGGGTGAGCCGCTTTTCTTCGCTGCGTACATTTTTTCAATTCACACGGCAAGGCCGCTGTAACCTGGGCCTCCATTCAGCTGATTCGGTGGTTTTTACGCCCCTATCAAAAATTATAGTATAACATTGCAGGATTTTTTGAATTCTCGTTCGCTTGTAATAATGACTCTCCATCCAAGTCGCGATTATTTGGAGTTCTAGTTTTTTCATGAATTTTTCCTTTCAATATTATTAAAAACGTTCTACTAAAATCCGCACATTAAAATGCATGCATACAATTTTACGGTAATAACCGCAATAATCGTAATACACAATTATGGTTAACTAGCCGAAACATAAATCATACAATCTGTCAGAAAGGAATCCAACTTATTATATAATTCAATTAAATTTTGATTCAATTATCAGGTTTGTTTTATCGTAGTTCCGAATATAATAAGCGATTTATGATATCCTGATGACGTTTTATCAAATTTTTTCCGGTTATAATGTTTAAAGGTCAGGTCGATATGATGGGCATACTTTTTCTGGAGCAATTCAACTGGAAAAACCACGAATTTGAGGTAACCTAGTTAAGTCACATTGAAATTTTAATATACCCAGTAAAATTATCGACAAGCTGTTGAGCAGAAGCTGGGTTATTTGATCTGAACTAGGTAATAGTTTCATCTATCTTCTTAACTCTGTATAAGGCCCAAATAAAATATCGGCTTACAAAACTTTGAATTGATGGACCTAGGAGTTAATTGAAGGAGAGAGTCAGGGTGATTGGTAGATCAGAACAGATGAATCACACGGTCTTTTGCGAATAAAAAACTACAAACTTATCTAAATTTGAAAAGCTGTCTAAATTCAGAAGCAAAACATCACGTAGGAAGTCACAGATTAGAATATAATTTTTAACACTAATTATACATTATTAAGTCATCTACCATATGTTCAAGTTCTCTGTTAATCTTTTAAATTCCACTGATGATTTTACATTTCTAAAACGAAGTTGGCTCATATACACCAATTGTTGAATCGGAATAAGCTGTGAAGGTTACTCTGTAACTTTCTTGGTTTCTTCTTTGTGATTTGTGACCGTGCGTTTTCTTGTCGGATTGATATTGAATCGGTCACAAATTCGTGAAATGGAAGGGCAAATAATCAAGCTTTCAGAAGATGACGATGTCAAATTACTTGGAAGGTAGAATCAAATAGTTATAAGGAAATGTAAGTATATTTCCGCTTTTGAAAAGATTGAACTTGACAAGAATATAAAATGATTGATGACCTTATGAATAACGTACATTCGAAACACCCGACACATGAAATAAGAAGTTGCGTTAATGCTTCTACATACGTCTAATCAATGTATATCATTCATTTCACTTTGGAGTTTAAATTTGTTTATGCATTTGTGGCGATATGCGGTATAAGTGGATAAGATAATTAGTTATTCTAAGGTAAAATGTCTTATAATCCAAGGTTCTACCTTGTTTAGAGGAAAAATGAAATTTTACTATTCGATAATGTATGCAGCTTTAACAAATGTCTTTCCTGTATCTAAATTGTGCAAGAAACATGGCAGTAGTCATGCTACCACTCAGAGCCGAGTTAAGCTAAGTAAGTGTCCCTGGGCACAGGCAAGCTCGGGCGGCCTCAGGCCAGATTGTCATTAGGGGCCCTACTTTGCCCCGAGGACCCATAGGGTTAAGGCGATATCCGCAACGAGTTACTCAACTAAGCTAACAAAAATTAATACAAAGAAGATGTCTTCTCAACTGTTACGTATGTCATAGTTATTAGCTCCCTCATTACCAAATATTCCCATTAAACTTGGCACGAGAGAATTACTCTATTTGATTTTTGCCGATGTATTCAGGTGTTATGCGCTGATTGTAGGTGCACTAGTGTTATAACAGTATCACACTCTGGTAACGGTGACGGCCATTCAGTCTTAGGCCAGAGGCGAGGGTGCGTAGTTGTCAGTATTGTCATCACTTTGGACACAACATACTGAGTTTTCTCAGTAGACCATATCTGCTTGTTTAGTCTCCCTATGCCTCTCTTCACATGTTTAAGCCTTATACCATACTGATGGTTACTAAAAAGCATGAAATAACGCTGTATGCAGTTTTTTTGTGGTTACACAGACGTAAAGCTAACATATTAAGTTTAACCAGTATCAAGAACATTGGGCAACAATGGAATGGTGAAGTTGGAATAGCGTTTTTCATTTCTACGAATTTTCAGACTGAATTTTATTTTCTCAATACTCCAACGTTGGATATATTTTAAGATGTGAAGTGTTCTTTGTGAACCTACTGATCACGTAGGAACATCAAAAGTTTGTGTAATACTTTGCTTTTCATGTAAAACATCCATTGTTCATAGAAATATTAACATTTATCATAAATATGTCAACATCGCAGTGTGATAACCGTATCTTTTCATTCACAAAGGACACGTGAGGTTACGTTAGGTGGTGACTGGTAGACGGTGTTTGGTAAATGAATTCGGGAAGCGGACCCTCTCATTTAGATGTGTTTCCAAGCACTCTTATACAGAATTATATCATTTACAAAAAAAAATGGTTGACTTTATTATTTTACAAAATAATTAATAACAATTCGTCCTCAAAGAAAATTACAAGTATGAAATGTCTCCATATCTTTATTATTCTTTATTATCTGTCAGTGCAGTGTTTTTGGTTTGGTTGCCCAGATACCAAAGACGGAAAAAATAAGGGAAGATGAAAAAAGAAAGTAAGAGAAAATAAAGGTGGAAGTGCGCTTATTGCAACGATTTCCTGATTTTGTTAACTAGTATTCGGAAATTTAAAATGTATTTAGAAAATTAACTTTAAAATTCTGTTCGTCATTGCTTATAACGCTCTTGATCAAAGTTTTGTAAATCTGTAGGTCTGCCAGATATCAGAGAAAGTCAGGAATAAAGCAGGAAATAAGGAAGAGGGGAATGAAGAAAGAGAGCAAAAGTGGTACGTGGTAAGTTTGAGCAGTGCCTTGCCATTACCAACTATGATTCTGAAATTTTTAATAGACCTATGAAATTGATTTAGAGGTGTCACCGGCACTTTAGATGAAAGTATTTTATTAAGGAATTATCTACTCCCTACCTATGCAAGTCGAAATGACAGCACTAATCACTGGATTCTGCGGATACACGTAAACGTCCATCAGTGACCAAACGCTCCTCCAGTACCCGACAACACACGGACAGACAGCGACGGATGCGAAGAGCGCATCCAGCACCCCTAACAGTCGGTACCACTTAGGCTTGGTGGTGCCCGGCAGTTGGGGCAATCCAGCCGTACTACCCCTCATGCCGCCATTATCACCGGAAGCCGCGGATCAGGTACTACTGCGCGCGATAGATTGAAACATCTTCTGATAAGAGCAGCAAACGCGACGGAGTTCGTACTGTGCAGCAGGAGGGTACGACTCGGTAATCAGTGGTACGAGTCTGGATATCACGGTCACCCTACGGTGCACAGGAGGAAGGTCTCACATAGACGGAACAAGCACGTAGAAATAGGTTACGTGGATTATTCAGAAAGGAACATTGAACAACCGTGTAGACTGACTAAAACACCTCTCGGATATAATCGATTTCATTAGTACTATTACAAGATATTTTGGAATCCATGAAGTTAACAGGACTGAGGAAAGTATCGTTTGCCAGATAGCTCTGGAGTATAGAGTTCTATCCACGTTAGGGCGTAGCTGAAATTTTTATTGGGTCTAAGAAGAACCTAGACCCGAACCATTGACCGATACCTTTGACCTATGCTTCTGCTCATTACTTTTGATCTAGACCTTTTTCCTAACCTTTGACCCAGACCTTTGACCTAGACTCTTGTCCTACATATTTTTCCCAGACCATTGGCGAATCTCACATATTTACTTTGATCCGTCAGTATTTACCATGGCATGTGATATTTACACACCCTGTTGCCTGAAACTCAGTATAAGTATTGGTGTGTAGAAATCGACTGACCACTGATACTGACGGAACATGACCAGTAAATACTAATGGAATACACTACTGATCGTGTGACATTCGCCTTTGAACTAGACGTTTGTCCTGGATATTAAGATGCCTGGAAATTCTTTTTCTTCTCGAGATTCCTGAAATATAGCGTACACATCTGTTTTAGACTTTTTGTATTCGAAAGACTCCTGTTGAGTTAGGCAGGGACCAATAACATAATCAATATACCCCAGCTTGCTTAGGATTAGGCTGTTAGTGAGCTTTTTTTTGGAATCTTCAGGCAGAATATTTTCAAAAAGTTCTAGATAATTGACCTGGATCATGGTGTTTGACTCTTGTACATAATGGAAAACCTGCGATATTTGTTGGTGTGGGGTGAAAAAATTAGATTCCATGAAAAAATATTTTCGTATCACTTGATGTTTTATAAGTCCCAAGTCAGTCTATTTGACGTCATTTTTCTCATGGACTTGACTATTATGTAGATGTTTTTGTCTTTGACGAACCGCACTGTTCATTATTAAACGCAGCAATGATTAAGTCAGGATTGTAGCGACTAAATTGTGCGAATTTTAACGTACAATTTGTGCACATTCAAATCAGACGTAACCACTTAGTAGAGCCATGATTTATTATAAGCATCGTCAGGTCTAGGCGGCCAGTAAAAATGGCCTCTAAATGGAGGAATCTTCTAAGGATGAGGGCAATTTTGACGGTTTTACGTATAATTTGCTCGAATTAGGTCATTGAGGTGATGGATGATGATAGAAGTAGGGCGAACGTCTGTAACAAGCCGTCTCTATTGCCTTTGCTTTGAGACAAACAACAATTACTATTTTCTAAAGTGCTTAAAGGAATCCATACACTGGTACATGTTGGGTCGCATATGCCGATTTTTTACATTATCAAATAAAGCTTACAAGTGGGCTAGGGGCATAGGGATCGGATACGTTTACCCAAAATAGATTTCTATTCAAAGAATCATAATTCTTTAGATGCAATAAAAATCATCTTACTTCCCATCTCAATAGTGGCAGAACTATTTTATTGTGAATAAGATCCAAGACTTTCCTGGAAACCATGTTACCTTTAAAAAGCAGCAAAAACTTACAAACAATAATTGCCAAAATAGATTTTTTTCTACATGTTATTTTCTCTTGCTTTGCCTTCTCGCAGGCCTTTCCTGACTCGTGACGAGTTTTAACGACGTGTTATTGCGGCGGGCTACCTCAAAAAGCTTTCATGACGGGTAGTCACGTCGGGCAATCTCAACCGGTAAGTTCGAGGGGCAATTCTGACGACCAATCTCGAAAGACTACCTCGACGGGCAATAATAATGGACAATCACGACGGGTAGTAACGTCTTGTAGTGACAACGGGTAATCACGACACATATTCACGACATGCAATTGCGACGGGCAATCTCAACAGACAATCACGATGTGCATTCACGACGAGTAATCACGACAAACAATCAAGACGGTCAATCTTAACGGACAACCACGGCGGGCAATCACGACACAAATTCACAACATGCAATCACGTCTTGCAATCTCCCTGGCCAACACGACGGACAATGACTATGGGTAATCTGGATGGGCAATCACTATGGGCAATCGCGACGGGCAATCTTACCGGTATACACGACGGGTAATCACGACACTACACACAACACTATATTAGACCATACAGCTATATTCTCTGAATTAACCTTTACCAGTAACGTAGATTTAGAACACATTCTCGTAGTTATGATAAAGAGCTCTTTAAGTAGTTGTATGTATGATTAGATGTTTGGAAACTGGACACATTTATAATATGAAACGTATCGACACAGCTTTGAATATTTCCATGACACGGTTATATTCCACTTTAATACCAATTTTCCGCTTCTAAAAAGATAGATGAGACTAAACACAAAACATGGCTTAATAAAGATGTAAACGCTTCTAGTGAATACCTCAAAGACATGTTTACCTTATCCAGGTCTTCCCAGAAATGAAAGCTGAATATTTAAAAGCCAAAAAATAAATCAAGAGCTGGTTACTGAGAGTACGCTTTCCCACTATCAAAATAGAATATTTAATTCTCAGAACATCAGTAAGGCGTTCTAAAATGTGCTTTCGGAATTAACACAGAAGGCAAAAGCGTCTTCGAATATACCTATAAAAGTAAATGAAACGGATCCACTAGATATAGCAAATAACTTTACCCAAGTCACCCAATATACGAGTATTGGCCATAAATATTCAATAAGTTACCGAACAAACTGCTAGGTGTCACAAATCCAAGTCGCTTCAAGTACCTATCAGTTGACAGAGTTTCTAGTCAACCAGTGTCTGGAGTTTGTGTGCTTTTATCTCTGTCTAGAGTCTTTTATGGATTTTACATCCAATTTTAGTGTGTACTATTTATATTTCATTTATACTGCATATTGTTTCCACGTGAGAGTATCTTAGCCATGTTTTTAATGTGTATTTATAATGTATATTTATTTCATTTGTCATCACGCCATTTTTTGTCATATGCTTCGTGTTTTTTTACCGATCGACATTTTGTGCGAGACATTTAAAAAATACCAGCCTAAATATGTCTAGTTCTAGCGAGAGTGATTATGTTGAGCCACGAAAGAAGAAATAAAAAAACCTGATACTTATGAGCGAAATGTTATAAAATCTGTTAAAGGACTCCAACATTCCAGTTGGAAAGAAAACCTAGTGTTAGCACGTAGAACGGGTCCGAATTGCAAGTAAGTCATCATAACAAAATATTCATGTTTCACTTAGTAAGAATTTTTTTTAGATGCAAAGACCAATGCCTTCCAATCCATTTTCCGTTGAAGACGCGCAAGATATTTATCTTCAACAGTTGATGGAAAAAGCACTAGTAAAGAAGCATAGACCTCGAAAGGAAGACTCTGTTCCACGTGACTACGCAATTAAGTACTTTGTCGATATACCCAGTAAAAAATGAATTTTTTGCAAAAACATATTTATTTCCATTTATGGTATAGGTCAGACGTCTATATAACTTACTATCACAGTCTCGTACACCGCGTGGTAAGCATCCAAAGGCAAATACAACTCCTCCCGAAGTGATAAAAAACCACGACCACATTTTGCCTTTTTCAAGGAAGCAAACCCATTATTTTGGACAAAATATCCAATATCTAGATGCACGATTAAATATTAAGACAAGGTTTTTGCTATTTAAGGCCAAATATCCAAATCCAAATCTGAAATATCAATTTTATGCCTAATATTTCAAGATCAATTTTTCGCTACGGTTTGGTAGACCTCAAGTTGTATTACCTGTCAAGAGGTAGCTGTCAAAATAAAAATTCAAAAGATTTTATGCAAAACCTGCTGCTACCGCAAGAAGAAGAATGGAACGATAAGATTCTCACGAAATTCTATTGATAAGTAAAAGGAAAACAGATTAATAATGTGTTGGGCGACTCCGCAGCTGAATACACTCCTGTATACGTCTAGACATCAAGAGAAAATAAGATGAGCGATGTCTGGTTGTGGCGCCTCATTCCAAGCAACTCAAACTTCGTGGATTAGCTGCCGCAGAGTCTGTGGCGAATAGTGCAAAGTGGATAGTCTCCTCTCTCCTAACGATCATAACCCACACATGTTCGATGGGGTTTAAATCCGGTGAACGGGGCGGCCTCGGCAAAACATTAACGCCTCATTCTTGAAGAAAGTCCGTAGTACGACTAGCAATATGGGGACGTTCGTTGTCTTGCTAAAAAAGGACGTGTTCGGCCTTCTAGATACAGCAGTAAAGTGGTTTGTAGGACATCATCAACATCACGCGCAGCAGTCATATTGCCTTGAACAAAGAGAAGGGGGATCGGCTACCAGAAGCAAAAGCCCCCCAAACCATTACTCCAACAGTCCTGTGTACATGCCTCCCAACAGCAAATCCGATATCACGCTGTACGCTCCACGGCGGTGTCTTACCCTTCTACGACCACCGTGCGCGATTCGTCGCTGAAGATGACATTATGCCATTCTGCCTCCCAATGTTGCGGTTCTCTGCTCCAGTTCAAACGTTGACGACAGTGGTTTGCGGTCAGAGGAAGCACTAACCGTGGATGGTATGAAAAAAGTGCAAAGGCTCGAATGCGAAAATACCAATAGTAATAAGCCTACCTTCTTCTTTAAACCATTGGTCAGCGATCTGACGCGTACCTAGTAGCAAAACGGTCACGTAGGGCTAGTTGTCTGAAGGGCGAATCTTGACGCTCTTTGATACGCTTCGGAGGACCAGTCGGCCTTCTTCGTGTTCGTCTACCTTCTATCCACACACGACACTCAGGCATTACCGTCATTTCAGTACAATTAACATGGCGGCCAATTTCGCGATAGGACAAACCAACATCTCGATAGGCAATAATTCTACCCCTCTCAAAGTCGCTAACATGGTGATAATTTAGACGTCTTCGAACTCGAGGTA